GTTTTTCTCTTTTAGTCAGCTTTTCACTTGCTGTAACTAAAAGACCTGACAAGAACAACTTTAGAGGAGGAAAAGTTCTTTGGAGGGCTCATAGTTTTGGAAATCTCAGTCCATAGAAGGCCAGCTCCATTACTCAGGGCTTGAAGTGAGGCAAAATATCAGATAGAAGAGTATGGCAGAGGGATGCAGCTCACATGATGATCAGGAAGCAGAGAGACTCCACTCACCAGGTACAAAATATATACCCCAAAGCCATGACCCCAATGCTCCACCTACTCCAGCCATACTCTACCCACCTTCAGTTACCACTCAGTTAATATTAATTCACTGATTTGGGTTAAAACTCTCATAACCTAATCATGACTCTCATAACCTTAATTGGGTTAAGAATCTCATAACCTAGCATTAACTGAGTTACTAATATTAATTAATTATTAACATAATTAATTGTTAATAATAACTATTATTCACCACTCAGTTATTAATATTACCACTCAGTTAATATTAATTCACTGATTGGATTAAGAGTCTCATAAACTAATCATTTCACATTTTTGGGGAAAACTCACATCCAAGCCATAACAATTTCTGTTCTTTTAGAGGTTATTCAACAAATTTGCATGGGATTTCTTAGGTTAATCAACATTATGTTTTCCCCCCTCACCTCAAAAGAACCTTGGGTTGCTCTGACTCCTGTGACTACCAGGCCTCTACCTCCCCCAACTCATCTTCCATATTCTTGTTTTACAGTATTTTTATGCTGCTTTTAAAAAAAAAATTAGAATTAGACTTTGTTGTTGTTACATAACTCGTGCATATCAACAAATATATTTATTTTATTTCCTTTTATTTTTGCATTATCCTTCTCAATCCTTCCTTGTGCAATTCAGTTTTCTTCTTTTTGAAGAAAAGACCTTAGTGGTTTTCCCAGCAAGTGAATATCAAACTCTCAGTCATTGTCAAACTCTCAAGTCTTTGTCTGAAATATTATTTACTTTCTCTCTGTGAATGGTTTAATTTAGCTGGATACAGAATTTTAGGGTGACCATTATTCAAAAGTGAAGGTGAAACAACTATTGTGGTAGATAAAATAACAGCCCTCCAAAGATGACCATAGCCACATCCTAATCCCAAGAACCTGTGAATGTTACCTTATACGCCCAAAGGGACTTTGCAGGTATAACTAATTTAAGGATATTGAAATGGGGACCTCATTCTGGATGATCCAGGTAGGTTCAAAGTAATCACAGGATCCTTATAAGAGGAAGGCAGGAGAGTCATCAGTAGGGGAAGAGATATGCTGATGGAAGAAACAGCATGTGCTTGTGAGCGAGAGAAAAGAAAGGAGGAAGGAAAGGAGGGGGGGGGGGTTACACTGCTGGCTTTGAAGATGGAGGAAGGGGCCCTGAGCCAAAGAATATAGGTGGCCTCTGGATGCTGGGAAAGACAAGGAACATATCTACCCCTAGAGCCTCTAATAGGAATCAGCTTCACTGCCACCTCCACGTGACCCCAGTGAGACTGGATTTATGACCCCTGGAACATCGAGGTAATATTTGTGTTGTATTAAGCCACTATTTGGTGGTAATTTGTCCTAGCTGCACTAGGAAACTAATTCAACTACTAAGAAATGTATTTAAGTTAAAGGAAAATACCAACTGATTTCAATATACAAGATCACAGAGGCTTAATCAATGAATTGGTGAGTTAATCACCACAACGTTATTTCAATTGAAAGATGTTATTCCATTAACTTCTGACCCTCTCTCCCTTCTTTCCTTCCTTCCTTCCTTCCTTCCTTCCATCTTCTCTATTTACATATTTACCCCTAAGCACCCAGTCTGGGGTTTAGGAAATATTGGAGGAATATGTTGAATACATAAATGAATGAATGATCTATTTTTCATTCTGATTATAGTTAAGACTTTCTTTCTTTATATCATTAGTGTTTTGCTATGCCTGTTGTCTCTCTAGATGGGCACTATTCTTATTTATCCTCCTGGATTAATTTACTTCCTACCATAAAATTTTCTGTGTTTCTTCAACTCAGAAAATTCTCCAGCGTTTTATCCATGTCAGCTATGATAGAATGAGATACTTTTCTTACAATTTGAAATGTTTAACAACAGTCCTTTTATTTGGGAAAAAAATGTGTTTTTTCCCAAATTATGAAGACAAGGAGAAGTAGTAAGATCACTGAAGCTGTAACTTCAGCCTCCTGTGATACAATGTGTAATTTAGAGAACAGAATTGTCTACAACCAACAATTGAATACATGTGGTTCCCCAAAACAAACATTCATAGTATTAAGGTTATAAGTCAGCATCCTTGGATATATGAAAAGAAACTTCTGGACATTATGGGAAAGTTCTTCACTCTTCTCAATAAATTCAGTTAGGGGAAACTGAATTTTATAACTGCATCCATCTAAATGAAGACTAAAGGCTAACTAGTCCTCTGAATTCACGAAAGCTCTATTGGAGCTTCATGAACTGCTATTTAAACACATGGCCTCCAGTTTTCAATGATAGTTTTAGCACATGCTCTATTAAAGTTATACAAGGCTCATGATAATTTAGTTCCACACTTCGATTCTTTCTATTCTTCATTTCCAGAAATTGTATGTATGCTGGATCTTTGCTTTTTTTTCTGTGTGCTTCTTAAACTCTTTCTCATTTTTCATTTTTTAAAAAGATTTTCCTATTGTTTGGATATGTGTTAAATGTGTTCCACAAAGATTCATGTGATGCAAGCTTGGTCTCAGGGTGATGATGGTGTTGAGGTACTGGAGCCTTTAAGAGGTATGACCTAGAAGGAAGTGACTGAGTCATTAATGGGTACTGCTTTTGGAAGAAATTAGTGGGAACCTAGCTAGTTCCCTTCAGAGTAGGGTGTCATAAAAGGGTAAGAATGGCGCCTTTCTGCTCTTTGGTTTCCCATCTTATCACAGTGTCTCTCCCGCTCAAATGTGCTTCCACAGTGTGAACAGTCAGGGGATCCCTGTGCAGAGCGTAAATGGATGAGTCTGCCTCATCTTGGACTTTCAGCCTCCAAAACTGTGAGCTAGATAAACCTCTTTCCTTTATAAGTACTCAGCTCCAGGTATTTTGTTATACCAGTGACAAATATACTAATATAATATGCCTCTACCATTCTTTAGGTAATTTCCCCAAACATCTCCTAATTCCTTAATGCTTTCTTTAATGGTAACTAGTTTACTTTTAATTCAGCTATTCAGTTTTTAATTTAGTGCTTACATTTTCATTCCTAGAAGTTTTATTTAGTTCTGTTCAAAATCTTAGTTAATTTTAGTTAATTTCATTGCATATTATAATGTCATTATGGTTTTAATTCCTTTCTGTAATCCTTTAATCATTTTAAAGCAGACTTATTTTTCAGTTCTTTTAACATTATTTAATGTTGTCCTGTTAGTTATGTCTGCTGCTCTCCCCTATTGTGTTTTTTCCCCCTCATAGCTTTTTAATTTTTAAGATATACTCATCATTAGTGGGAATTATTTTAAGAATTCAGTGCACCCTAAAGTCTAGAAGTATTCTTCTGTATAGTTTGCACCTATTGGGTACCCTTAGAAGTTCATATACCCAAGACCAGTGTTATGGTTTGGATGTAAGGTGTCCCCCAAAAGCTCATGTGTGAGACAATGCAAGAAGATTCAGAAAAGAAATGATTGTGTTGTGAGAGCCTTAAACCCAACCAGTGAATTAATCCTTTGATAGGGATTAACTGAGTGGCAACTGAAGCCTGGTAGGGTGTGGCTGGAGGAGGTGGGACACTGGGGGCATGGCTTTAGGGTATATATTTTGTATCTGGCAGTGGAGTTGCTCTCTGCTTCCTGATCATCATGTGAGCTGCTTCCTTTTGCCACACTCTTTCGCCACATTGTTCTGCCTCACCTCCAGCCCTGAGGAATGAAGCCACCTGTCTATGGATGGAGACATATGAAACTGTGAGCCCCATTTCCTCCCCTAAAATTGTTCTGGTCAGAACTTTTAGTCGCAGCAGCAAAGTAGTTGACTAAAAGAACCAATTTTTATCTTGAATTTTCAGATTGGGATTCCCACAACATATAGTATTATATATTCAGACTAAGAATTTGCAAGCAACAAGGCTTTAAGTTTCTGTTTTTTACTGGAGGACATCTGAACTTTCTTACTGATTCATTTTGCTCCTGGAAAGAGTTTTGTTTTGTTTTTTAAAATATGTAGGGCTAGTCCTTCTAGAGGTCCAACTTCATGGAAAGTTTTTACTGACTACTCTTTAACTCATGCAGGTCCATGTATGGTTTTAAAAGTTCATTATAACAATTAGGGTCTACAGCCATATCAGCTCAAACACAATAGGTTATGCCTGTCTGGCATGGAAGGGTATTTATTCCCTTATGAAGTAGGAGGTGAAAGTAGTTGACATCTATCCAGTGTTCCTTCTAAGTCTAGGATTTTTTCTCTGATGATTGGAATTATTGATGGATCCTATACTAAATTTATAAACTACAGTGAACAATGTATTCCCAAAGTGAACTCTTGATTTGATTCTATGGACACACAGAAAATAATTAATTTATCTTGTGACTGGGCTAAAGAATCTTCTTGGTGTCTGGAGCCCCTGACCCAACATCCTAGATCCTGTGGCTGTGTACACAAAGATCTGACTTAAAGCTATGTCCTTCATCTAAGACTTGGATAGAACCTCTTCACTCAATATCCCAAAGCTAGATTGTTTCCTTCCTCCATTTTCATGGATGTATAAGAGTAGAACTTGAAGATTCTTTCAAATCCCCTTGCAAATTTTTTCTAACCCACACTCCAGAGTTCTAAGTAACCTGAATAAAGCTGAGTCTTTTTGTTGTTGTCATTGTTATTTGTCTCTTGAAAGATTTTGACTTTCTGGATTCACCATTTTTAAGATTAATTTTTTTCTGTTTTTCTTTCTCTTTTCCCCTTTCCCTTCATTCCTCCTTTTGCTCATTCCTTCTTTCCTGCTCCATTGAAGTCCTGAACCTGATGTGTAGTCTCCATAAACTACTGGTGGCAAACTGGGAAAGAAGAAATCACTGGAAATTCTTCCCAACAGCCAGGTACAGAATTAGTATTGATAATGAGATCTTTCTTATGCAGCAATATCGTTTTACCATGTCTACATTATCTGTTCTCAGAAAATAAAACAAGATCACTCCATTGCACAGTCTCTATGACTCTGGCTATTTGTTACAAAGAGCAACCATTTAATAAAATAGTAATGCCAGATACTAAGTCCATTAACTTTCACTTTTTCTAGCTACGTATACGTTACTAATTATAATAGAGAGGTCATTCCTAAGGAATTACTAACCTTCAAGTGATATGAGATAATTATTCCCAAGAGAATCAAACAAATTCATAAGACAAATACACTCAAAATTTCAGACATCAATCTCTTTTTTTAAACCATAGCCTGGGAACAAGGGAGCTATGAAATAGAATTTTACCCCAAGGTCCAACAAATGACTGCATGAAAATAATTTCCCGTCTGCCAAAAAAAGAAAAAAGAAAACCAAAACTTTATTTTGGTAGATAGCCTAATACTTGGGCAGGGTGTTGTTTTGTTTAAATAATAAAAATTCCCTGAAGGAGAAAAGTAATTCTTTTCTAAATGAAGAGTTTTAAAAATAAATTCAGTATGTATTTTAGGAAGCATTTTTCTCTGTTGGCCAACAATTCAAACTTATATGATAAGTTAGACCATTGTACAACCAAAGTGGCCCAGGCTTCTCGTTCAGAGCAGCATTTGCCTGGTTGAGTCTCTGTCAACTTTCTACTCACACACACACACATGAAGCTATTTGAAGATGTGGACATAGACATCATTATCAAAAAATGGAACTCAGACTCAACCCACAGGCCAATTTGAGAATTTCCTTTAGATTCAAGATAAATTATTCTAGATTCTAAAATGAATAGTCCACCTCCATGAAGATGTTTACTGAAAGAAACAAAAAAATTCTCCCTGGGTACCACAATCTTTGAAAGAACCCTTTTCAACAGAATTTCCCAAACTGATGTGTCTAGGATTTTGATTCGTAAGAGATGCTCCTTTCTAGAAAAGCTCACATAATCAAAGGATTGGGCACTTCTGCAAAACATATCTCCTTTTGGAGACTCAGAAAAAAAAATTAAGGTTTAATGTTTAAAAATACTGAAGTGATATTAAAGTGTATGAGAGTTTTTGAAGAATAAAAATATGCTTAGTGTTGTTTAACTTAGAAGTTCTGAAATGGTCTTAGCCACACAGTACCCTGTTTTTCTGGGTAATAAAACCTGCTTCTACAGCACAGGAATTTAAAGGAGCAGACTTGGGTGCTACCTGGGTGCATAGCTGCATAAGTACTGCTTTCAGAGGCCAAAATGTTATTTATCTTTTCTGTCCTTCATGCATGCATCAAGCCTGAGAACAAATTCTTTAAAAATAACTAGGTAGCAGAGCTGGGAGAGAGTGTGGTAGAAAAAAATTTTCAATGACAGGGTAGATTAAAGTAAGAATAAAGCAGCATGTAATGAAAACAAAGGACAGTAAGTTATGGAAGGATTGCAAAGAACATATTCCCATGTTGAGCAAATGTAATTTAAATGAAAGATTTAAATATTTTAATGAAACAAGTTGTTCTAAAGCTCCTGTGGAAAAATAGGCAAGAAATAATAGCCAGAAAAATTCTGAAAAGAAGTATAATAAAAGGGAATTAGCCTAACCAAGTGTGGCTTCTTTTGTATAAAGACAACATGTAAAACAAAGTTGTTTTGGTGCATAAAAAGACAAATTGCCCCCAATGAAAGAAGATAGAAAGTCCAGATGCAGACCAAAGTACCTAAGAGAATTCAGTGTATAACAAAGGTACTGTTTCAAATTAGTGAAGAGAAATAACACTGTGCCTTATTTAGGTGCTCACCATGTGCCAGGGCATGTCTAAGCCCTTCACATATACTGAAGTGTTTCAAACTCACATCTACCTTCTGTGAAAAGTAATATTATTAGCCTCTATTTATAGATGAGGAGCCTGATGCTAGTAAGTGAACAGAGTTTGGATTCCAACCGAGGCTACAGAAACTATATTTAAATTTTTTCTACTCATCAAACTGTTAAATAAAAATGTTTGCCATATTATCACATAATTACTATTAACTTCAAAAAGGAGACATAGCCTTGAAGAATATGGGAAGACTTCAAATTGTATGTACATATTTATACAATTCCATATTTATATCTCTATATCTATATTCATGTGAAAATAACTAGAAGGAAAAGTACCAACAATGGTAGTTTGGGAATTATAGAAGAGTTTAATTTTTTAACTTGCAATTTGATATATGTTTCCTTTTTTTTAATATTACTTTTATTTTTCTTTCTTTTTTTCTTTATTTTTTTGATATAGTTTTCTACAATGACATTTCTTTCATGGTTAGAAAAAAATTAAGAAATAATATTTGGAGAGAAAATAAGCTTATATTATTATGTAGCGTAGATGTAAAATAATCTGAAATTAAAATAAACATAGCTTAGACTGCAAAATTCACACTAATTTTTAGATAAAATGTGAAACTTCAAAAACTGTTATGCTTGTAGAGGACCCCAAGCTATGCCCAGACTCTTTATAGATGCCTAGCTCCTAGTGGCCTCCCTCCTGGCACTCTGGAGCAAGAGTTTGAGGAGCACTGGGATAAGTCTTGAAATGGTAGAGTCATATGAAGGTCACTCAAAATGACATATTCTATAACTCTTTCTGCCCAGTGATATTAAGTCATCAAGGTATCTAATGAAATACTGGCCATAGACTCCATTTTCTGAAGCCTATTCTAGAAAACCCAGATTTTTTTTCCCAACAAGAAAAATTATAATTGAAGCTTTTTGGTGAGTTTTATAATTCTTGGTATTCTTTGGGCCCAACTCTAATAGCAGCACAACAGGAAATTACTTAAGAGGCCTTTGATCATAGTCTTCATTGTATAGTAAATCATACTAAGGGGCTGGGGATGTGGCTCAAGCGGTAGCGCCCTTGCCTGGTGTGCGCGCTCGCCTGGCGGGCGTGCGGCCCGGGTTCAATCCTCAGCACCACATACAAACAAAGATGTTGTGTCCGCCGAAAACTAAAAAAATAATAAATATTAAAAATTCTCTCTCTCCCTCTCTCTCTCTCTTTAAAAAAAAAAAAATCATACTAAGACCCTGGAGACAGATGGAAATTCACTTTTATAGACATAAGAAGAGAAGATGACCACCATATCAACAATGAGGCTGTTTTGGACACAGAGATATTGAACTCTTACCTCCCATGTTTCCTCTGTTGCAAACTGAGCCAAAGACCTGTCCATCATAACACTTAGGATGCTGTGTCCTTAACACTGTGGTTTCTCGTCTGCTTCTGCTCCCAGATTACAAACACATTGAGAGCACATACTACATGTTCTTTTCCACATCCCACCTTTTGGCCCAGAAGAAGTACTTAATATTTACTCAAAGAATAAATTGAGGAATTAATATCTTCTATCTCCATAGGAAAATACTCTTTCAGGAGTATATCTAGAGACAAACTCAATATTATTGTCATAAAAAGGATGCCAAATTCCTCTGAAACCCTATACATGGGTCCTTGGCTTACAAAATTTTGACCTTATGATAGTGCAAAGATAAAATGTTCTCAGTAGAAAGCTTACTTCAAGTTTTCAAGCTTGCTCTTTTCCCAGGTTATTGACATGTGATATGATACTCTACGATGCTGGGCAGAGACAGCCAATCACAGCTCCCAGCTAGTCACACAATCACAAGAGGGCACAACTTACATACTGTACTGTGCTGTTAAGCGAGGATGTTCAGGAGATTAGATGAATCAAGGGTATTTTTGACTTTTGATATTTTAAATTTATGATAGTTGATTTTGATATAACCTCATGGTAAGTCAAGGAACATGTCATTAAAAAACTATTTTCATTTTCATATATATTACATGCGTTGAGCCTATGAGGTAGACAGGTAATATCATCAACATTTTCTCAGGTGAGAGCCTTAATGTTTGGAGAGGTGGAGGGACCTGCCCAATGACATTCAGCAAGGAAGTGAAAATAATGTTAAGAACCAACATTTAATGAAGCACTAACTGCTCTAAGCATGTTTTCTAGATTAACTCCTTTAACCCTCTCACAATTCAAAGAGGTTTTGTCCCCATCTAAAAGATGAGGAAAGGGAGGGGAAGAATGACCAGGAACTACCAAAAGCCAGAGAACCTGGTAGGACGGGTGGGCTTCAGGGCAAGCAAGCTGCTGCAGGCTTCCCCTAGGTTACCTGTGTGATCTACTAATCAAGAGCAGGTCTTTCAATCAGACCCTAATCCCAGTGCTATTTCCACTAAAGTGTGTCATTATCTTCTCCTGTGCATATCTCCTGGGTTTGAGGATGAATAAATTAGGTAAATGCATGTAAAATACTAAGCAGAATCCTTTCACATAGTAAACACTCAAAAGCATCAAGTGTTGCTAGAATGCTAGTCACAGGAGTAGAGGAACTCTGGGCATTCTGTCAATGGAGCAGAAAGTTGAGAATTTCTTTGATGCACTTACCTTTAAATTAATAGTAATAATGAGCCCCTTTCTTTTCACCATGAATTGCTGAATGAATACAACAAGACATTTTGGAAGTAATTTGAAAAGTTGAGTCCCATATGCTAATGTAATATATTCTTCAATGATGTTTTATGTGCAGCTCAAATTTTCATACTCAGATATTAGCCCATTTCTTCTTGCTCACTTTTTACTAAAACTCAAGTGATGCTCTGCTGGCTATTAGGGATCCCATCCATTATTCTATCGGATCACCGGTGAACCAGAGGGATTTATGAAGCTGGGCCAAATTCAAATTGATTGTTTTCTCTAGCTAATCTATGCTGTGGCTAATTTCATTGCCCAAAAAAGAAATTTCAGGAGGTTCAAGTGACACAGAGGGACTAGATAAAGGAATTCATCTACTTTATTCCATATTAAGTGTAACATGCAAGTAGCATTTCATACCCACGTTGCTTTTGGTCCTCTGACAGAAAATGGTAAACTTCCCTAG